TCTGCGGAATCAGAATCAACGTTGAGTTTAAGCAAGCGAATGAGCCAATTGGATTAAAGTGCCATGCAGATTTAAATTTTTCCCACTTGATAATAATATAAATATATATCAATGCAGCTATCGATTTTTTTGCATGCTAGCATGCTAGTTAACATTCGTGTCAGTCAGCTGTTGGCTCTCACGCTGGCCAATAGAATCTTCCTGCCTATTCGTGGCAGCCAGCTATTGGCTCTCACTCTGGCCAGTGGAAAATGGCCACAAACTACATGAAAACTGCCGTAGAAGCATGAAAAATTCGATTATTTCCACTATCGATGGGAGTTTGGAAATGCAAACTCGGTCTTGGCCTTCCTACTAACTTGGAGCATGTGCATGTAAATTTTGGTGCAAATCCGTCGACAATTGCGTTTGAACATAGATTGCCAGTGAGCAAACATAGGCGATCCCATTATTGAATTAAGTAAACCACGGGACCATAGAGGAAACGCATATATGGGAGGTAGCGTGTGTTTAATTGATCGTTATTTCTATTCTATCCTCTATTACTATACGGACCGCTATTCTCTACTCTATACTATTTCTCTATTCGGATCACTATACGAGCGAGTATTATCGAGCAAGTACTATTAGTGCGAGTGATATTCGTAGGCGTCTGACATCAGTATTGTTCAACGGCGTTACTATAGTTGTATCTGCGATTACAAAGGCTCTACATTACGAAAAATACATTAAAAAAATTGATATAGATATGGTAATGGTAAAATAAATCCGTGGGTGTATAATCCAAATGGGTTCTAGTAATATAAAAATATTAAAACTGATCCACAAAGTAGAGCTCGATGTATTTTATTTATACAGAGGAATATGATGAATAAGCAAAAAATCTTTACCTCAGGTGGGGAATAAACTATTTCGGCAGTGGTCGTCTGTCTTTTTTAAGGCATAAAAACAAGTTCAAATTTCTATAATATTATTTTGCCTTAATTAGCTCACTCCCCGACTCCCAATCCCCTTTAAATATTCAAATATCGACATTAAAACAAATTCAAATTTCTATAGTGTAATTTTGCTTTACCTGGCTACCTTAAGTCACTCCCCCACTCTCACCTCCTTTAAAATCTTTTTATGCTATATTAATTATAATTTATAAATATTCCTCTACTTAGAATATTCCCTTAATCCTCTTTCCGTTAATCCTTTACGTCCTTCATACCTTATATATTTATTTAAAATTATTTTTAAATTTATTTTTAAATTCATTTTTAATTTTAAATTAATTTTTTCTCGTTTCTAATACGCTTCTAATTTCTCTTCATAGGGTTAATATTCTTTGACATTATTTAATACACCTCCCCTTTAAGATAGATAGTTACCACCCTCCCTGATCTCTGTCTGGTGCATTGAAAAGTGTGAATAGTATGACGTCATAGAACCGCATCATAAATTGACGACCTGCGTCTGCTGTTCCACGACCGTTATCGTCGCATAGCAATCTTGTATGTCAACATAACAGAATATCATCTTTGATGGAGGATATCTTTAAATGTCTGTATAACAACTCTGAAGATGGCTCATGTGAGCCGAAAGCTTAGATCAAGGACCAGTTTAATAAAACAATATACAAAATGTTGGACAATTTTTATCTTTATTTCCACTCGAAATTAAAGCAATCATACGAAGTTTAGAACGGCTCATGATCAGACATAAGAGACATTCATTGTCTGTTATATTTAACAATATATGTTTAAATAATGATATGCTGCCCCACTACACTATATATATATATATATATATATATATATATATATATATATATATATAAAATTAGAAAATCAGCCAATTACACTACCATGGTTTCAACTTTTCGGTATCCTCAGGCGATATAGGCCAAATCTCCCGAAGAGGCCTAAAGGTTGAAATCATGGTAACAGAATTGGCTGATCTCCTAATTTTTTTAAATTTAAAAGGTTTGCTCTTTGAATTTTAATTTTCTTTATATCTGTATTGAGCATTTTTAATATAACGTTTTCCTGGTCTAATTTATCTTTGACCAATAACTGTTATATATATATATATATATATATATATATATATATATATATATATATATATGTGTGTGTGTGTGTGTGTGTGTGTGTGTGTGAAAATATATAGAAAATAGGAAAGAACTGGTTAGGTAAATAATCCAAAGTTCCTTAGTATTTTAGTTATTATTTTTAAAAAATAGTGCTCGATACAAAAGTAGAGCATAAATATAATTATTTATTTAAAAATATGATTCCAACTCGCGACATATGAGGTCTCATGTTTCAAAACAAGAGCCAAAAACTTCAATATAATTATTTGAATTAAATTGAGTTAAAGTAAGCTCTGTTCCATCTTCAAGCGAAATTTTTTTTGGAATAACTTATTTCTGAAATTTACGTATTTTAATAATTGAAATCAAAATTTCCATGTTAACAGCAAGGGCGAATTGTTTAAATTGGGTAGGCGTGTGTTGGGTGTTAATAATAAGTATCAGTATAAGATATGTTATTTAGTCAGCAAGTACTTGTCCAAACAAGTTTTATAAAATTCAGTGGACAAGATCTGTGCTTAATGATTTTTATAATATATATTCCAATTTTTTTAATAAGATGTTGTATATCAGAAGAATTTACTATAAAAAGTTCAAAATATGTAACCTAATTTTGTCAATAACTCGTGACTTCAAATATTTAAAATATGTAAAAATAATGTTGTTTATGAATTGCCATGCCATCTGGGAGACTGCAATATCAGTATTCAAAAAGCATTAAATTCTTATATCGGCCACACATACACTACACTCTCTCGTAGGTTGACTTGTCACTTGTCAAAACTTGTAATTTATGCCCATATTGATCCTCATATCAGAAACAACCCAAATACAACTATCCATATAAGATAAATATTAGTAGATAACTCAAAAATAATCTACAGTACTCAAAGAAAGTGTTATGGTCCGGTTCCTTGTACCACGGTGATAGTCCAAGGTAGAACCAATAAAGAAGAACTCGAACACGGATATGGAATAACACAGATATATTACAAACAGGAATATATACAGAGAGGTAGAAAAGTGTTAGTACGAACAATCAGGTTTAGTAAGGAGAACAATGTAGTTTCGACCAGTATCACTATTCCAATGTCTTGCAGTAATTGAATGAACACGACTCTGACAGACTCCTGGCGGACTTCTGACGGACCTCACTCCAGACTTCAGACTGAACTTTAGACTTCAGACGGAACTGAAGCTTCAGACGGAACTTTCTGCTTCCTCTTGAGGCGCAGTATTTATTATTACGTATGGAATAGTCCATTATGTTCTTATGGGTAAGGTCCCATAACAAAAAGAAACACTTAAAATTCTAGAAGCTATTATTATGCACAATAAACAATCCATATTAAATAAAATGTTTCACCATAGGAGACGGCATCTTGAAGTGTGTATAAAATAATTAACATACATGCAGAAAAATTAAAAAGAACGCATATGTGATGCACTCTTTTTATGCATTTACCGTTTTTAACTATTTCATATGACGTCACTTCGACTGATTTAAAGTTTCAGCATCCTTTTAAATACCAGGATGTAACAAACGACATCATGCCTACCATAATGGTATCACATAGTTCCTGATAATGACTGAGACATTCGAAAGTATTGGAATAAAAGCAACAGAACAAAAATGAACTTCGAACAGTTTTTCCACAATTTCGATCTTGATATACATCATATTATTCGAAAATTGAAGAAATACAATAAAAAAATTAAGTAGACAGAACTTGTCAGTTGAATTTAATAGAATCTGTTTGTATATATATATATATATATATATATATGTGTGTGTGTGTGTGTGTGTGTGTGTGTGTGTGTGTGTATATATATATATATATATATATATTAGGGGCTAGAATAAGTTCTCGCTGTTTTCCAACGGAGGGCTTTCTCAGAACTGCGTGCGTGTAGTTTCTGATCTTGAAATTTAGTGTATGTCATTTCGCCGAAGTGTAAACAACTTTGTTTTCACAGCGTTAAACATGTCGGATTTCGTGCCAAAGAAAGTGTATTTGCGGGGAATTTTACTGCACTACTTTATTCAAAAGAACTCTGAAGCTGAAGCACACAGAATTCTTTTTTCTGGATCTAACTAACGCCTTGGGGACACATGGCACAGTGGATAAAGGCATTAGTCAGATCCAGTGACAGGACCCAAAGAGTGTGAGTTCAGTACCCCGTCAAGGCAGTGGAGAACTTTCAGAGGGAAATTAACAGGAGATAACTGATAACTGACATTCATTAAACATGGCACGTGGAATTAGAACAGTCTACCCCAGCGAGCGAAATAAAGGGTTCAGTTCGAAATTCCAACCACCTGAAGAAGGCCGGGGCGTACAACAGCCGAAACGTTGTAATAAATATGGCGAAAAAGATGAGGACAATAGTCCGAATAATGTAAATAATGTACGTAATACCTCATCTCAGAAATATAGGCAAAAGCACTGATGTTATGTACTGTGCTATTTTAAATTTTATCACCTAGGCTCACATGCAAATGTCAAGCGAGGTAACTAAGTTCCATGTTTTCTATTTTTTCTTCTCTTTATTATTAGATCCTGTTATATCATGTAAAACAGTCGTAGACACTGCAGACCAAAGCCTTCCTGATGATGGAAAAACAAGTTGCTCGCCACTTCTTGGAAGAGGTTCGTTGTCGTTTTTCTTTTTTCTTTTTTCAGGTTGAGTCATAAAAAATTTCCTTTTGTAGTCTATCAACTTTATTATTTGTCGATGGTTCGAAACCGAATGGAATCAGACCCCCCTCCCTAGGAGAACATAGTAGCATTCTATTAGGTAACCTATGTCACCAAAATCACGAAACAACAAGTAGGCATGTTACTTTACAAGTTGTCATGCCAGTAATACGAAACCAGAAGAAACTTACTAAATGACTCAACAGATATTTTTTGTGAGTTACATTTGGCATCATATATATATATATATATATAGATAGATAGATAGATAGATAGATAGATAGATAGATAGATAGAAATATAAAGTTTGTCACCTAGCTGCTTGGAGTTACCTTCAGCATCCCGACTTTAGACGAACCATCCAGCAATCACTCCATCCCCTTGTCAGGGGATATCAGCAATTGACTGTTTATTTTATCGTTTATATATTAATTGAGCTCAAATACAGATCAAATATGGAACGGGATCCGATAATAAGAGGGTAACAACAGCAAGGGAGGCACGGTGGAGTAATGGATAGCGGCTTGGATTGAGGAACCGGAGAGCCGAGTTCGAATTCCAATCAAATCCATTACATTGACTTACGTGCTTATACCCTTGGGAAAGTTATGAATTCTCCTCTTCTCCACACACACACCCCAAGCTATGGGAAAATAGCAGGACAGACTAGGTTCTATAGCCTTGGATGGCAACTGGTCTACCACAGAAAGAAATGGCAAACTACTGCGGGGAAAAAAATCTGCTTCGTCAGTCATGAATCGAAAGATACATGATTGCCTAATCGTGTATCACGCATGGCACATAACTGAACTGGCTTAATAATCTTTTATTAAAGTTTCATCAGAGAATGAGATATGGAGAAAAAGAAAAAAGTTCTGGTATTTCCGTTTTTGTGCCGTTTGATCTTTATTGGTTAATTATGTATCATGTGCATTTGACTTGTTAAGCAACGTTAGTACAATTCATGGCGTTCCGAATTCAAGGAGAGACGACGCGTCGTTTCGATGTTCCAAGAAATTAACGGATTCTGGGCCTAACTGAAAAAAACGTAAATATTGCATGTAAGTGTCTCATAATTCTAGTTTGTCTATGTCGGATTCAGATGATAATGTGCATTCGTAAGTGTTTGTATGGATGTGAGCATCTGTGCATTTCTAATAGATATTATTTATGATATTATACATCATCATCTTTTATTAAATCCATTCTTTAATAATCTAACGTATGTTTATCTATGACAACCGTTGTTCACATAAAAACGTCTCAAAATCAACATGCGAACAACCACTAAACATAAATAATGTCTACCAGACACACATACACGCATACACACGCATACTCTCTTTTTTGCGCGTGAATATTGCGATGATAATTTTATGAGAACAACAATGCTTTTCCAGATACAGATCTTGCTATTTGACCCATAGCTGGGAGGAGAGGAAACGGAGTCTGTGTTTGATCTGAAATAGGAATATACTTACTTTTTGTGATGATTATAAAATATTATATAGATGATTATATAAATATTACGATAAAGTAACATTTGGGCATATATAGAGAGTATATTTACTACATTTATATGTAGAGGCGTGAACGTGCATACATTTTCTAATTTCGTTTGATTTAAGAGTATATGGTTAGACTTTTATTTAATCGTAAAAATAATGAATGTATTTTTTTTTTTAGGAAAAGTAATATAAATGGTACGGTTTAGTTATCGAATTAGTATTTAAAATGTAAAAACATTAGATTAAACCATGCAAGAACAAGTCCAACTCATCTAGTTATGAATGCCGGGGAAATAGCGCGAATCAAAACCGGATGAAGCAAAAGACAAGACTATATAGGAGGGGTGTGTGAAAAGCCTTTATTTCATTGGCTGATGTTGACTGACGTATGTCAATAAGAACGGTCGGACTCCTAGGCATATCTGAATTTTTTACAATGTCGAGGTGAGTAGCACGACGCTATCAAGGAGGCGGCCTAACCTCATTTGGAATCAGTTCGGGATTGCTTTTTGAGCCGATATGATGCAAAACCCCAAATTGGCGATGAAGACAGTGCATCACTGAAGATCATCTTTGATGCATCTGAAATGTATTATTCAAATATATATATATATATATATATATATATATATATATATATATATATATATATATATATATATTGTCATCCACAGACAGACTGTTTCGCTATATCACAGCTCATCAGTGTGGCTAGACAGCCGATTGCCTCAAGCCAGAATCGAAACCCGACTGATTTGGCATCAGTCGGAGATATTGACAGATGTGTAAAAAATTTAAAGAAGCAATGAAAGACCGTAGTTCATTAGCTTATCTCAGTGGTTCTTGCAGAACCCTTAGGGACCTTTTGCGGAACCTTAAAGTTCCGGGGAACCCCGATTGAGAAACGCTGCGTTAGATAGTAAATATTTACGGGGTCCTATAACATTTATCCGGCAAACAATATTGGTGAACTCAGTGTGAGTCCAGGTAAAATGAGACAACGAAAGAATAAATATAAAACAAATAATGCGTGTATTAACAAAAGGAATTACATGTGTAGACAATTATAGCAAAAGGAAAAAGAAAATTAAAACAAGTTATAAGAAGAATGTGTTTGTGCGTGTATATGTGTGTGATAGACACGTGTGTATATATGCGTATGTGAGAGAGTCCAAAATCAAGGGCGGACCAAAGAAGTGAACGCGCCTTGTCGGCAACGTTCCTATTTATGTGCGGCTACATCTGAAAGCCAGCGTTAAAAAGCGAGAATATTACCGCCTTTTTATAGGCTTAAATAGCGCCCTTCCAGCAGGCATTTTGATATAGTCAATACCACATCAAAATGTCTTTATCGTTTTCAAAGCATAGCTTAGATGCGGCACAAGGCTGTAAGTGCGGAGCACCCAGTAAGGATCAAACTCACTACTCAATCGTAACTGATAGAACAACACAAGCTTGCTAACCATTACAACACTTCGAGGTGCCCTAACGTAGATAATGTAATATACTTTAAACAAAGCCGATACTTTAAACTAAACAAATAAAATAACCCTCCCCAAAAGGAAAAAATAAATAATTTAAGGGTTTGGTTTTATTTTGTTTTACGGTATATCAACCTCAATAGGTTATTTAATGTTGACAAGATTTTTAGAATAGATTCATTTGTTTGTTTAACGGCATATCAACATCCTATGGGTCATTTAATGCCGAAATTTAATTTTCTTGGGAGCTTTAGTAATTAATTTGGCAAATGTGTATTTCTGGTAATATTTTTTCCCAAAAATGTATTGTTAGTAATATTTTTCCAAAAATGTATTGCTGGTAATATTTTTTTTTTTAAATGTATTGCTGGTAATATTTTTTTTTTAAATGTATTGCTGGTAATATTTTTTTTTAAATTTTTTAAATGTATTACAGGGTTTTTTTTTTTTTTTTTGTTTTTTTTTCAAGAATGTATTGTTGGTAAAAAATATTTTTTTAATTTGTATTGATAGTATTTTTACTATAAAAAGCTATATTTTATACTTTCATAGTGTTTTGACCCCCGTTTGGGGATAAACTATTTCTCCATAACTAGGACCCCCTAAAAAGTGCTACCACCCCGGATCAGGGTGGACCTGGGAACACCAGCACCTAAGAGGTGGTTCCATGCTCCTCAAAACCTCCCAATCAGAGGCCTTGCTACTGAATGTAGTTTCGTACCATGAACGATTAGAATTTAAGCGAGTAAATAATAAATTAATTAACAAATTGTAACCACAACTAAATAAATTTAATAATAATAAACAGAAAATAATTAATGAATAAATACAAAATATCTTAAGTAATCAATGATAAATAAGAAGTTAAAAGTTCACAAACAACTATATACAATAGTTATAAAATCACCACATTCAAATCCACAATTACTTCTTATCTTATCGACCAGGGGAGGTGATCTCAGTGGGCGGTACTTTCTAAAAGTGCAGCACTGAAAACCACACGACAGGCTGACCCGAACATCTTGAGTGAAATTGGGTAGACGTATTTATTCGTCATTTGTTGTGCTCTTACAAAACCTCGGGACATCGTGACCAAGGGTTATTTTAGCTTACTGTCCTTGTTCAAATTGTGAAGATGATACGATCTCTCCCAGAATCTCTAACTACCATAATGTCTGCTCTGCATAGCTGCAGCATAAACTCCAGATGGGCTTTGTTTGTGTTGAACAAATACAAATGTGCTTGAGTCGGCGTCTACCACAGGGATTGGCTAGCCACCCGAGTAGACAAGCATACTCAGATACGAGCTACTAGTCATTACTATATTATTTGAGTTCTATGAAGTAAAAAGAATTTGACATTTCTAATCTCTAAGACGGAAAAGAGATAAACTTTTTGTATTTATTCACCTGACTATGCATTACTTTTCTCTTTTCTTTTTTTATCACTTCTATTTTCGGCGCTCAATTATTCATTCCACTTTATATACACAACCTTTAAAATTATTAAAGCTTTTTATAACCACCCGCTGTTAATGTACACAATTCGTTTTAAAATCAGATGCTTTCCTATATTTCGTCTGTCATTTAACATTTCGTTTTTTGCTCGTCCTTTTCCAAATAAAATAAAACTTTAGGAAAACAAAAACGTTCCGCTATCGTTGATGAAATAAGTTGAATGAAAATAGGAGAAGAAAAATAGGTCATACTTTGTTTATTTAATTCTCGATAATGGTCAAAAAGAAAGCCTTTTTTTTTCGGTTACTTTGAGAACCCAACGCATTTGGTTAATAAAACCACGGGACGTTCGCCCGCAAACAGATGGTTGCACAGAAGGGGGTCGAAAATTTTCAACGTTATGATTTTATGAAGGACCATGATATTGACAGATGTTTAAAAAAATTTAAAGAAGCAATGACAGATCGGAGTTTAAAGGAAGAGGAAGGCAAGAGTTATGTCCCTTGATAGATAATGTCAGACGAAATTTAGTGGTCGCGGTTTAGCTACAATAATATAAAATAAAGGTTATATAGACAAGATACGTTGAAAACAGATACAGGTAATCGGTATGCTAAGGAAAGACAAGTTTATCTTTAACTAAAAGGTCATATTGTAAAACGCTAACCTGTGTAATATTTGTATCATGTTGTACATTTAATGTTTTGTTAAGGTAAGGATAAACAGTTTATGACGAATATTAATAACGTCTTTTTCTTTGTCCTTTTTAACTTTATTCTTTCCTTTTCTTTCTAATCCATATCCCTTCCCCATCATTTCTCTCTCTCTCTCTCTCTCTCTCTCTCTCTCTCACACACACACACACACACTATATCTATCTATCTATCTATCTATCTATCTATCTATCTATATATATATATATATATATATATATATATATATATAATTGGAAATAAATGTAAAAACACACATCCACAAAACTTATATGCTTCCAACTACAAAAATAGAAATCATAATTTAAATACAAAAATATAATACAAAGATACACACACACACACACACACACATACACACACACAGATAGATAGATAGATAGATAGATAGATAGATAGATAGATAGATAGATGTTTCCTTTATTAAAGACGACAGACAAAGTAATACGATAAGCTTTTTATTTAAATTTTCCTTGATTTCAGAACAGACACTAGTTAACAATGGTTTCCCTAACCATCTTAATGACCACCAAATTAGTTTATTTCTTCCCAAAGTAAATAATAACGATAGTGAACACACAGTCAAAAATAACATATTTTCTACAAAAAACAAATGCACATTAACCACAAACAAGATGAATCTTGAAGTAGAAATATCATAAAGAAATACACTACCCCAATTGACCCAAATAAAAAAAACAAAATTAATGATCTACAACAAAAATTTAAAACAGCTAACCCTATCCTCAAAAATGGCAACACACCAGTAAATTCAAAATTACAACAAACGAACATTATCTATGAGTTCAAATGCCCGTTAAGGAATTGTGTTCCTGATCAAACAAAATTCATAGATAATTACATTGGTCACACGACCACATGCCTATCCAGACGCCTTACGTTACATCTATCTGACCATAGCTCTATTAGAACCCATTTAAACAGAAATACAAACTTACCAGACTCCATCCGAAACATACTAGTAGAAAATACAAACATAATAACCTCACCCACATGTAAAAAAAAATGATTAAAATAATGGAAGCCTTAATAATAAAAAGAAAAAGCTGATACACATTATTAACTACGAACATGGCCACAATGTCCTATGTACGGAAAATAAGACACTCCTATAACTCTAGAAACATACACACAACCCATACACCCAGTTAAAAAGTAAAAATAAAATCATCCTTGATAATGGCTAAAGTATTTCCAAAAGTGCTCGGTCATGCAGGACTTTTGAATTACAATATTTCGGACTTTGCTAACCAGACGCTTCTCTTTTGCTGAATGTCACAGCACATCCGATCAAATGACGGTTTCAATATAGGAATACAGGTTCGCATATTTTACTAAATTTCTCGAACATTCAGACCGGTAAATGTAATTAATAATGTTTAATTAAAGATATGGATTTACTTAAATAAATTGTATGTATATAAATAACATATAAACAGAAAATATATTAAGATAATATATATATAATATATATATGTGTGTGCGTGTGTGCGCGCGTGTGTGTGTGTGTGTGTGTGTGTGTGTGTGTGCGTGTGTGTGTGTGTGTGTGTATAATGTATATTTGGGCAGCAACCTTTCTTTGAAACATGTTTCATTGAATATGATAGATGATGAAAATTTGATGATTTTTTTTATTGAACTTTTAGTAATATTCCTACAATTTTCCGTTTGGTGGGGGTAAAAGTGTAAAAAATGTCCGTAGTGTTCATTGTCCCAAGTGCTTTCGGCCACTTGTTTCGCCATTTTCAAGGAGTTTGTTGTTGAGTGATGTTCACTTCTTTTCATTGTTGCCTGGTTGAAATGTAGTTGCATGATGTCTATAGAGTAGTAGCTTTTATACTGTGTGCCACGAAAATTTGAGTTGGCGTCTTTCTATTTAAATAAAAAAAAACTTTTAACACGTTATTTCCATTGATAGAAAAGGTGAGATTTATACTGAGTGCCAGATGTTTTATACAGAGGGTTTCTGTGATAGCGAGATTGTTTTGTTTACGGGATTTATGAAGGATCAACGGGATTTTTTTTTGTGATATCTTGTACATTTTGAGTGGCTAAATTCCTTTTAATGACACATTGGTCAGTTACAGATAGATAGTGTGGACGTGAGAACCTAAAGTTTATAGCGACTGTCAGTTTCATGACTAAGTGTGATTTTCGGAAGATCGCATAGAGGCACGAAACTGACAGTCACAACGCATTATTGATTCCTATGTCCACACTGTCTACAAATGCCCTGTTTCCGATATTGATCACTCTTTCCCTATCAATATAAGATCTTATATATATATATATATATATATATATATATATATATATATATATATATACTGGGTGTAACAGAAAAATTGTCCAAATCGCGTAACACGAAAATTATTCAATTGTTAGATTAACATTTGAACCGTTGTATCTTAAAAATGATTAAAGATATCGCAGTGGAATTCTCCGAGGTTTTTATAAGACTATTGGACTCTACTTTGAGCAATAAGAATGTACAATTACTCTCCAACCTTAACAGAAGAATCGTGATGAAACTGACCGTAGACGAAAATGACATGTTCATCATTAATTAATCTTAGATAAGGATCGGAAGCTCATGAAGGACTGAAATAAAGTTCATATATATATATATATATATATATATATATATATTCCTGGATAATTTTCCAATTTATTCAAGATGATCTTCGCCCTCTCTAACCTTCTAACTTTCTGTCCTGGAGTAACACGGTGTCTCACACCTTTCAAGTGCGATTTCATTTTCAAATCAATTCCCACTGCTCTCTGGGCTGTCATAGACGAAACTCTTCTCTTGCGTACCAAATGTCTTATGGATTGAGTTATATTATTCACCGTTCTCTTGATGGTTCTTGAATGGACTTTGAAGATGGAAGTCAGAGTATGAATGTTGGTAGCATTACTGAAGGCCTAAATGATTTTTCCTATCACCATTGCCACGTTGAGAAGACAGTGGGGTTGACACACAATGATGAATATCTGAAAGGGTTTTTCCAGTGATTTCTTACGACAAATGGCATCAAGATGGCTAATCGTCTTACCTGAAAACCTTGAAAAAATAAACTCAATTAGTTTTGTGTTTTTTAGATACTGAATATTTTGTGGGATGGAAAATTATGCAGTAAAACGATTTGAACAATTTTGCTGTTATACTCTCTCTCTCTCTCCCTCTGTCTCTCTCTCTCCCTCTCTCTCTCCATATATATATATATATATATATATATATATATATATAAATATATATATATATATATATATATATATATAAAGAGAGAGAGAGAGAAAGAAAGAAAGAGAGAAGTTTGGTTGCCCAACCGATTTTGAATTCAGTCTTTTCTATCTTATAGACAGTTTAACAACCATGACTAAAAAGCAAAGTCTACAACTATTTAGCCCATAGCTGGAGGTAGAAGAGATCAATTCATAAATTTTCCACGGGTATTTACGCGTAGTTAATGCAAAGATGCAGTGTTTTATTCGAAGGGCAAATATTACCGCCGTACAAAATCAAAATCATCTTATGACAAAAAAAAATGTTCTGTTCACAGTCCTTCGAAATCATATGATTTCCTGTTGTTGTACTGACGATGTCTTGGAGACCGGACTTCCTGAGGATTGTGAAGATATTTCTTCACAGTGGAGCTGGTGCTCAATCCCGGATTCAACAGAAGTTTTTTTCGGAGTGCAGTTTTTTGTACATACTACTCGTTGAAGGCCAACGTGGGAAGAAAAAAAAGATTTCAAAATGGCGCGGAAATCGGGACAAAGCAAGGGGCCTTCTGATTGGTTCCTTTTCAACCAATCACAGGGATGTTGTAACAATATTAAAGCGGGGGCGTTCAATGGGGGGTAACTCCGAAAGACTTGTAATAATTTCAGTAATGAACACGACTGGAATTTGAACTCAGCTCTCCGATTTCTCATTTGGAGCCGCAATCTATTACACAACCCGCTTACGGTCAAAACACCAGTTCTCGTGTCGAGCACGGGGTCAGTACTTAGGCGGAAACAGCAGGTATTGTAAGCCGGAAAAAAACATTTGGGCATGGGGCTAGAAGCTTCATCCCGTAATAAAAGATTAGCAACCACAGTAGCAACGCCGAGTGTTGTTGAGCCCTGCGGACCCATAATTCACAGAAGTCTACGGGACTTGAATGATTGTGATATATATATATATATATATATATATATATATATATATATATATATATATATATTAAAAGAAGAGAGAAACAGTTCAAGAAAGACATTTGGGTTACTAACACGCAAAAAAGAGAATGTTTCATATCGAGAATATTTAACATCGAAAAATATAAGAAAAAAAATGAATTATTTTTAATAATATGTGGAAATCTCCACGCTTTGCCTGATGAAGGTCGCGAGACCGGAAACCAATGTAGCAAAATTATGGAAAATAAAGCATAATATTTAATAGAAAAACCCACATTACAACCAAAAACGTTTGCGGTTTCTCTCTTCTTTTTAATATACACACTTTTCTCTCGTTAGAACTACTATAACCTCTTCTCTTTATATATATATATATATATATATATATATATATATATATATATAATTTTATTGTACTAGCATGAGGATGTTTTTTATTTATTATTTAGACAGATTTTTTTATTACTTAAACGTTATTTTTATTGGATACACGTATTTTCGTAAACCCTCCGTTTATTTATTAAACCGTGTATTATTTTTTCGTCTATCGGGCTAAATGATCGAGAAGTCTTATTAGAGAAAATATGCGGTCTTTTATTTTTCTCTAATAATAGCATTTCTTGAATATTAACGCCGGTAGACGAAAATAAATAAAATACTGTTTGATAAATAAATCGGGCGTCTACTCAAATATGAGTATCAACTAAAAATAACGTTTTAATATATATATATATATATATATATATATATATATATATATATATATGAAGAAAATATATACGAAAAAAACAAACAAAAATCCTTATATACAATTATGCTGTTTTAATGTTAATCTAATGTCAACATCGGACGTTTCGGTCTAATAAACCATCTTCAGGACATATTCATAAAATATAATTAACATTATCAATTCAACATGACAAAGACGATGTACATAAGAACAAGACTTATCCAAACAGATAACTGAAAGGTTGATAAGATCAGCGCTCCGTTTAAACATGGTCACGTTGTCGTCACGTGGGCGACGCTTGTTCTTATGTACATCGTCTTTGTCATGTTGAATTGATAATGTTAATTATATTTTATGAATATGTCCTGAAGATGGTTTATTAGACCGAAACGTCCGACGTTGACATATTAACATTAAAACAGCATAATTGCATATAAGGATTTTTGTTTGTTTTTTCCGTATATATTTTTTTCATACTTCGG